AACAAAATAAAAAGTAAACTATTGGGACTACATCAAAATAAAAATCCTACACAGCAACCAAAAAAAAAAAAAAAAAAAACAAAAACAAAGACAACCTACTGAATGGGGGAAGATATTTACAAATGATATATCTGATAAGGGATTAGTATCCAAAATACACGAAGAACTTATACAACACCAAAAAAAAATCCAATTTAAAAATGAGCAAAAAGTGTAGTAAACAGACATTTCTCCAAAGAAGACATACAGATGGCCAATAGACACATGAAATGATACTCAACTCATCATCAGGGAAATACAAATCAAAACCACAAGGAGATATTACCTCACAGCTGTTAAAATGGTGAAAATCAACAACACAAGAAACAAGTGTTGGTGAGGATCTGGAGAAAAAGGAAGTTTGTACACTGTTGGTGGGAATGCCAACTTGTGCAGCTACTCTGTACAGAGATTTCTCAAAAAAGTAAAAAATAGAACCACCATTTGATCCTGTAATTATATTGCTGGGTATTTACCCAAAGAATACAAAAACACAAATTTGAAAAGATATATCCACCCCTATGTTTACTGCAGCATTATTTACAGTAGCCAAATTATGGAAACAGCTCAAGTATCCATCAACAGATGGACACAGAAGATGTGGTGTATGTATATATAAATGTATATAATATACATATAAATGTATATACATTTATATGTATATTATATATTATTCTTTTTTATGGCTGACTATATAGTGTGTGTGTGTGTATATATATATATATATATATATATATATATAGGAATATTAGCCATAAAATGCATTCTTGCCATTTGCAACAACATGGAGGGATCTAGAGTATAATGCTAAGCAAAATAATTCAGCCAGAGAAAGGCAAATACCATATGATTTCAATCATATGTGGAATTTAAGAAATAAACAAAGAAAAAAATCAAACAAAAAACAAATATAGAGAACTGTTGGTTACCAGAGGGAAGGAGAGTGGGGGAGATGGGTGAGGTGAAATGGATTAGGGTTACACTTAATGTGATAAGCACTGAGTAATTTATAGAACTACTGAATCCCTATATTATATATCTAAAACTAATATAATTCTGTACATTAATTATACTAAAATTTAAATATTAAAATAAAGTAAAAAGGGAAAGAATAATCCCATTTAATATTAAAATATATTACAAAGTCACAATTACTACAGTGTTAAAAACAGGAAATAAATGGACTGATAAAACAGAAGAGAATCCAAATGCATACCCAAATATATATTGTAAGTTCATGTATACATAGAACTTTATAAATCAGAGGGAAAAAGGTAAACTAGTTGATAAACAGTATTAGGAAAACTGACTCAGTATATGAAAAAAATTAGACTTCTATTTCCCATATTCACAAAAATAAACTATTATCTCTCCTACACACACACAAACACAATTTTATTAAGGAGCACACAGGAATCCTTATTAACTCAGAATCCACCACCGGCAAGTCCTATAATCATGACCAAATACATTCATTCTTGTAACTCACAAATTTCAGAGAAAAGGGGACTTCAGTTAATTATGCTATTCTGTTTATTTTGTAGATGTTAGAAAACTTCTATTAAAAAAAAAAAGTCAGGGCACCTGGGTGGCTGAGTCAGCTGGGCAACTGGCCCTTGATTTCAGCTCACGTCCGATCTCATAAGTTGCTGGATCAAGATCCCCTTTAGGCTCCATGCTCATCAGGGAGTCAGCTTGGAGATTCTCTCCCTTTGCCCCCTCCCCCCAGCTGGCTGGCTGGCTCTGGCTCTCTCTATGGAATAAATAAATCTTTGAAAAAAAAAAAGTTTAAGGGGAAGAGGAGGCCAAAACAATGTTAAGAAGGTTGCAGGTTGTGCCAATACTGACTTTTTCTCTATGCTTTAGAATGGAAATAGCATTTGAGAAACCTAAGTACTCAGGTATGAAAAAAGACATTAATTCACTGTCAAATCCTTCCTCTTGCAGAGCAAAAATATAGTTGCTTCTTGCATAATGAACAACTGCTTCATAATAGTGCGTATTGTCCTCTTCCTTTTCTTTGCATTCCAACTTGTGGTTCTGGAAGTACTAGCAACCTAGTGCACAGCATTAGCAACAATTGCACATGGTGACTGAGGAACATTTTATAGTTCTAAGCAATTCACGGTATTCTTTGACTTGTTCGCATGTAAATCTAGACATAAACAGCATGGACACAGTATGGATTCTATAATGGCAGAGGTCAAGTAAACGCTAGAATGGTGACTAAGTTTATTTTTATAAAATTATTTAATAAATTTTATTTAAAATAGTTTATTATTGAAATAATTTTATTTACGATTAATGTTCATTAATAACTATTTTATCTTAATCTTAGGAGAATATTTAATATTACAAAAAATTTTAAGGGGAAAAAAATTTTTTTAAAGTAGGCTCCATATCCAGCTTGGAGCCCAGTTCCGGGGTTGAACTCATGACCCTGGGATCTAGAACACTTAACTGACTGAGCCACCCAGGTGCCCCTAAAGGAAAAATATTTTTATACTATTTCACATTTTTGATGAAAATATACTCAAATTAGTAGATTTAAAATACAATTACATATTGTTTTAATCCTTAAATCATACTGCCAATAGAACACAAATGTAAAAGTCTTGATTGTAATACATTTGCTAATTTATCTAAAATTATGGAACAGGGCACTGAGGGGGACACTTGACGGGATGAGCACTGGGTGTTATTCTGTATGTTGGTAAATTGAACACCAATAAAAATTAATTTATTAAAAAATAAATAAATAAAATTATGGAACATATACTAATTTCTGACTTTATAGGTAGATATTTTATTACTTATCCAAAATTCACCAATCATAAATATCACAAGTGAATTCAATTCTTTGATATTCTGACAATATTCAGTCATGAAAACAGTTCTACACATACTGGCCTACACCATACTGCAATGAAGGTATGTTTGTAAAGCTAAAGACTCATATTATTTCACAATTTGAAAACTCGACTAAAAAGTTAAAACACTTAACACATATTTTAGGGACACCAGTGTGTACTCTCTTCCTAGGAACAGCGACTGCGGGGGGGGGGGCAAGTACCCCTACGTCCTGATGCTTTTCTGTCTTCACAACTAAAATAAAGTGAATTTGGATTTAACAAGGTAATTTCCGAAGACATGAAATACTGCACAGAATCACTTATGGCCAAGAGGCACAAAGAAAGCTGATCAGCTGTTCCCAGACAACCGTCCTGCAAGAAGTCAGCTGAGGAAAAGGAAAACTATCAGGCACACAGGCCGACTCAAAGTCAGGAAAACTGGACCACCCAGTGACTCCTCCCTGCCTCCCAAGGCTGGGTGCACACTGGCTCCCAAAGAACCAGAAAGTTGGCACCCTTCACTGAACGGGTCACGCAGGTGCAGAAGGAGACAAAGCGGCACAGTCGTCTACAATGAGAGAACAGGCTAACAGACCCTCGCGAGGCGCCACGCAACACAACGGGGACAGAGAGACGCACGCAGACGGACACTTATCCAGGTCCAGGGCACTGGGAGCTGGGACCCCGGGGCTACTCGGGGGAAACCTGCCCGTGTACAGCCTCCGGGGACGAGCGAAGGACGAGGCAGCCAGCAGATGCACCCCCCCGCCCCCGCCCCGACCCCTGCAAGCGGACCAGCACAGGGGCCCCCTCCATCCCTGCACCCACGGAAGACGGCAGGTGCACCCCCGCCCCCTCCCCGCCCCCTGCAAGCGGACCAGCACAGGAGCCCCCTCCACCCCTGCACCCACGGCAGACAGCAGGTGCACCCCTCGCACCCCCCACCCCGGAGCCCAGCGAACCAGCACAGGGCCCCCTCCACCCCTGCACCCACGGCAGACAGCAGGTGCACCCCCCGGACCCCGGAGCCAAGCGGACCAGCACAGGGCCCCCTCCACCCCTGCACCCACGGCAGACAGGTGCACCCCCCGCACCCCCGACCCCGGAGCCCAGCGAACCAGCACAGGGCCCCCTCCACCCCTGCACCCACGGCAGACAGCAGGTGCACCCCCCGCACCCCCGACCCCGGAGCCCAGCGAACCAGCACAGGGCCCACTCCACCCCTGCACCCACGGCAGACAGCAGGTGCACCCCCCGGACCCCGGAGCCAAGCGGACCAGCACAGGGCCCCCTCCACCCCTGCACCCACGGCAGACAGCAGGTGCACCCCCCGCACCCCCGACCCCGGAGCCCAGCGAACCAGCACAGGGCCCCCTCCACCCCTGCACCCACGGCAGACAGCAGGTGCACCCCCCGGACCTCGGAGCCAAGCGGACCAGCACAGGAGCCCCCTCCACCCCTGCACCCACCCACGGCAGACAGCAGGTGCACCCCCCGCACCCCCGACCCCGGAGCCCAGCGGACCAGCACAGGGCCCCCTCCACCCCTGCACCCACAGTTCGCGTTCACACGCGCTGCCCTTCCTCCCTCCCTCCCTCCCTCCCTCCCGCGGTCCCGGGGGGCAGCCCGCCCAGCGTAGCGGAATCCGGGACCGCGGGCGCAGGAGCAGGTGGGAGCGCCGCAAGCCCCGCCCACCCCGAGCCCCAGCCAATCGCGGGCGGCGGGGGCGGGGCCGGAACCTCCTCTCCGGCCGCCGGAGCCCGCCCCGCCCCGGCCCGGCCCGGCCCGCCCCGCCCCGCCCCCGGCCTGCAGCTCGAGCCCAACGCCCGCCACACCCGCCTCCCCTGACCCGGGAAGGGGCCGCGCGGTGCGGAACCGGCCCCGCACCCCCGAGATCGGCTCGAGGCCCGCCCGGCCCGCCCGGCCCGCCCGCCCGAGTCGGCCCCTCAGCCCCGCCTCCGCGCCGCCCAGGCCTCTCCGTAACGGCTCCGCTCAACCGTCGGGGGCGGCGGGGGCTGGCCATCCGTCTGTCTGCCCGCCCGTCGCAGCCGGAGGCCACAGCCCCGCAGCCCCACCGTCAGGGAGGCCAGCCTCGACGCCCGGCCCCACCTGGGGCTGGAAGAGGCCTCCGCGCCGGGCCCCAGGGGCCGCCGTCACGACCGCCGCCTCGCGTAGCGCCTCCGGCCTCGGCTCCCGCCACGGCTCCTCAGACGGCCGACAGGGGGCGGGAAGCGTCCGCCCAATCAGCGCCGCGTGCGGCGGGAACGACGTCCAATCAGCGCAGCCCGCGGGCCAGGCTCCGCCCCTCGCACGCGGCGGCCGCGCAGGGGTCTCCCGAGGCTGGAGCCAGGGGCGCCGCGGTGGGCGTGGCCCGGGGCGGGGCCCCAGAGGAGGCCCAGGCATCCCCGCGGGGCCCTGCACGGCCCCCCCGCGGTGCGGACGCGCCCTGCTGCCCCGACTTGCCTCTCTGCAGGGCGCCAGCGGGCACGGGAGTCCCCTGGCCTGCCCAAGGGCACCCTGGAGGGCGGCGGCTGGGCGGGGCCGCAGAGACCCCGGTCACTGGGAGAACCTGCGAGGACTGCGAACCAGATGAGGCCAGTCCCCACTGAGCCCTGCGCCCCGCCAGCTGCTGCCCGGCCACGCCCCTCCAGGCCACGCCCCCTCGAGGCCACGCCCCCACCCGGGTTTCCTAGAAGCAGGGGATGCTGTGCAGGGGTGGGGGGGTGCCTCCCGCCCTAATTAGCTAAACCCCAGACTCCTGGGGGACATTAGGCTGCGGCCATGCAGACGTGGTACTGCGCACAATCATCATCAGGATAGGCCCAGGCTTTTTAGAGCATTTCCATTTAAAGTATCAGTTTAAATAACAAGATCAGTGGAAATATCTGTGGTCTAAAATATGAAGCAATTCAGAAACGGATACAGTGGACAAGCGCCCTGAACTCGTCTCATCTTGCCACTTTTTAGTAGAGAAGAAAAATGATAATCTTTACTGTTTCATGTGTCTGGAAAGCATGGGGATGGGTTAGTAAACCACCACATGGAAGATAAAGGCAGATCATCTTATTTGAATTGATTTTATTTATTTTTTTTTAAATTGTTTTTAAATAGGGTTTTAGAGTATGGTGTTAGATGGAAAAGCTTTATCAATCAATCATAATTGGACTTCCAATTAAAGTTAACAAGCACATCCTGTCACAGGGCCGAGCATGTGGACTTTGGTATAGGTTTCAGTGCTGACTCTGCTGCTTACCGGCTGTGGGTCTTTAGAAGAATCACTAAACCTCTCTGAGCATCAGTCTCATCAGCTGACAGGGATATTATCTACCGGGTAATTTTCAGAGTTAAATGAAATCAACCACATGCAGGACGTATCACTGTGAGCAAGCAAGAGTGAGCGCACAATAAATGTAATCAACGTTACTTTCCTCCCCCTGTGTGCCAGGCTTCGTACTGGGTGAGGGGCTCAATCCACATTCATTACTCCTCACACAGCATCCAGCAAGCCTTGAGAGAGAAGTGGAATCACTATCCCATACCCCACGTTCCCTTAGAGCTTTTTGTCAGATGTTAACACTGACCTGGCATAGAAGATTGCATTTCAGTTTCTCAAAGACATAACACAACTGTGATGCTAAAGCTGAGTCCTACAGTTTTCCTTTTTTGGCAAAGGCACTAAATTTGAGAGTGTTTTGGGAAGAGTAAGACTCATGTCTGCAATGATTTAAACAAGAAGTTTCTTAAGTCTTATTTCTAGAATTAGACTACAAGAAAGACACACCTCAGATGATAATTTATCCACATACTTTAATACTTAGGCTTCAGTAAAATCATCTTAAATGACCTTAAAATATGTTTCGGGAGACAACCCCCACAATTGCACAATCCACTGCAAAATTTTAACAGCTAAGCAATATAGCCATTTTTAGGATCTGAAAGCTCTCCTTAAGCTGAACTTTACCAACTTCTTTATCAACTAGGCAGGTATATTTAAGTTCTTAAATTTTTAAATGTTGATTTTTTTTTAAAAGGCACGTTGAGGTTCTCTTAATATTGAAGATAAAACATTTACTGTATATTCCATGACCAGAACCTTTTTGACAAGTGACTTTCACAAAGGCAAGATTCTTTACATGCCTTTACACAACAATACATTTGGCAGCTCTAACTCTTATACCTGAATGCTCTGGACAATTGTCTTGCACTCTGGGCTGGGGCCAAGGACACAACAGCCAAGGCTCTTTCAGGCTTGCTGACCTAATTGGACAGTTTATGAAACAGCAGGAAATGGAACCAGGCTTCCACTCTGTCTTGCATGTCAATGTAGTGCACAGTGCTAAGCCAAAGGTTCAACTGAATCACAATACTTTAAACCAAAATTCAGTGTTCTTACTGTCAAAAAGTACCAAAGAAAGTCATTCCTCTTCTTGGAATTTCACAAACACAGACGTTGCAGTTATAAAAACAAATTGGTTAAAAGGTAAAGCGTATCTTTGACATACTGATTTGACAAATGTTATTAAGTGTTCAAAAATCCAGAGTTAATTCACTGGTGACAGTGATCACAAATTAATCACACTGGTTTCAACTGTTATCAGAACCAAGAGTCACAAGTTGAAGGCCTTATTCATTCTGGATGGGTTTTCCATACCGCAGTGCTAGCACCTGCTGCCAGACCACCACTCAGCACCAAAAGAAGTCATCAGCGCCTTGCTGGGAGTTTTAAGTCATCGTGGCATCCGGCAGGGGACAAAGGCCTTGACTTCTTGGTTGGAGATAAAAAAAAAAAATAAAATAAAAAATAAAAAAAATAAAGAAAAGCATTTAACATTTTAAAAACTGGGGGGAAAAGTCCAGACAATATTAGAAACTCTATCTGAAGGCACAAAGAATAAAGTTGGCAGGTAGCTGATAAAACTGGGTGTATATAAAAACAATTTAAAACTATTAAAAAGTATAAATATTGGTGATTTTTCTTTCCAGGGCTCCAGCTATTGATGAAAACACCTGCCAGTTCCACTTGATAACCTGACTTCTGAAATTTCCTGACCCTTAAGCAGACACAAGAGTCACCTTAGTCATCAAAAAAGGTAACTGCAAAGAGCATTGCTGCCTGACATTTTTCTATAGAGTTGTCTGAAAATTGAAATAACTTAAGGCAGGATTCCTCAAAATGTTTAGGTAGCCTCAAACCTAAACAGAATGGCCTGATAACATGCAGATACATTAATTACCAAACACAAAGAAGGAGAGCACAGGAAGTAAGAGAAGAGAGTGCAAGAGAAAGGACTGTTTTGGTAGTTTTCAAAGTCTAGCTTTTTCCCTACCTTCCTCGGCTGTTGGCGTAGAAGACACACCGCCTAATAAGCAGGGCAGCCTGAACTCCCAGGAATGGCTGTGTGATGACTGATGAGGCATACATTTCTTGCCTATTAATAGTTTCCCACTGTTCGAAGTCTACAGACATTGGCAAGCAAACCTAGTCTCAGGTTTTCCTTGTCCCAGGGCAGAAATGCCTCAAGGGACGGTGATGGGAGTCACACCGTACATTCTGTTTACGATGGGCACAAACACACAAGACTGACTTATATTCTAGCTCGTTAAATCCAGACTGTTCCTGAGAAAGCATCCAACAAGGGTAAAATGTTCCAACACCACAATGGCAATAAATAACAGCTACATTTACAAAGACCCAATCAGGACACATGCAAAAGTCACAGGCTTTCGTAGCAGGAGGATGCGACTTTCCAAAAAAACAACCAATCAACCAACCAACCCACCCACCCACCCCGCCTAGGCCCTCTCCAGAGGGGCCAACACCGCCGTGCATCCTCCGCCCACCCAGCACCCTCCCCCAGCGCATTATACCACGGCCTTCTGGCCACCTGAGGCTACTCTTTAGACCTAGGGACACAGACGTTTCAAGTAGATGATGCAAAGGGCCACAGCCTGGGGGCCTTGGAGCAGAAGCTGAAGTCAGAAGGCCCAGGCCGTGGTGGTGGTGGTGGTGGTGGTGGTGGGTGGGGGGGAACAGTCACCGCCAGGATGGGGGAGCCCAGCGACGAGGCCCCCGCGGCTGGGCTCGAGAGACGCCCTCAGATGAAGTGGATCCAGCTCTCCTCGCACTCCCCGCGAGGCATGTGCAGCGCGTGGTTGCGGCACGTGAGACTGTAGTCGCGGCCGTGGTTGTTGTCCCAGTACTCGGCGCCCGCCACCCGGTAGCGCAGCGCGAAGTGCACGCGGGAGCCGAGCGCCAGCAGGAAGGGCGGCACCGGGAAGCCGAAGGCGAAGACGTCCTCTGTGCCCCCGGCGCCCGCCGGCCCGCGCCACCGGGCCGCCGCCTCGTGCGCGCTGCGCCAGTCGGAGAAGGTGTAGCGCACCGCCACCTGCTTCTCGAAGGCCACGTTGCGCACGCGCACTGTGCCGCTGATGCCCAGGTCCGAGCAGGTGACGCGCTCCAGGCAGATGAGCCGCTGCGCCAGGCGCTCGGCGAAGTCGGCGGCCTCGATGGGCGGCGGGAAGTCGGGCACCAGGCACTGCAGGGTGAACTCCAGGTCCTGGCTGCTGCAGCACAGGTCCGAGTTGATGGCGAGGCGCGACAACACGTGCAGCGGCACGGCCGGGTCCTCGCCCGCGTTGAACACCTTGACCTGCGCCAGCTCCAGGCCCAGCGCGTCGGCGAAGCGCACGCGGAGCTGCCGGCTGCAGCCCGGCCGGCACGCGGCCCCCGGCGCGCCCCCGGCCTTCTGGCGGCGCTCGGGCGAGCTGGGCAGCGAGCGCGCCCGCCGCAGGATGATGGGCCGCAGGCGGGGGTCGCAGCCGGACGGCGCCGGTGGCGGCGGCGGCGGCGGCGGCGGCGCGCGGCCCGGGCTCCCGGGGGGCCTGCAGGGCCGCGGCTCGGGGGCCGCGCCGCCGTCCAGGTCGGAGACGCAGCTGAGGCTCCGCGGGGCGGGCTTCCGGGCCCCGGGGCCGGGGGGCAGGGCCGCCGAGCCCCAGCCTCCGGACATGGCGCGTCCGGCCGTCGGGCGGCGCCGGGCCCCCGCGCCCGCTACCCCGGGGTCCCCGCCGAGCTCCCCAGGCCCCAGCGGCCGCCGCGCCCGACGAGGGCCCGGGCCCGCGCCCGCGCCCCCCGAGTCCGCGCGCAGGTCTTCCGCTTCTTGCAGCCGGAGCGGGGCTGCGGAGAGACGCGCGCTGTCTCCGGGGGGGGCTCCTCCGGACCCCGCACCCCCGGCCCGGGGAGCGCAGGGCGGGCGCCTCCCTTCGGCTTCCGCGGAGGTCCTGGGGCGAAGGCTGCGCGGCCGGAGCCGCCCCGCCCTCCTCCCCGCCCGCCGCCTTACTTACATGGCTGCAAGTCGGGGCGCAGCTTCCCGGAGAGCCTGCGCCCCGCCCCCCGTGACGCCGCGCGCCCGCCCCGCCGCCGCCCCGGCCCTGCCGCAGCGCGCCCGGGTCCGGCCTCCCCGCCCCGCGCCGGGAAGCCTGGCGGGCGGCCTCGTCACGTGTCCTCGGCGATCGCCGGACAGGTCTGACCCATTTGCGTGTGCATCCGCCCGGGCCGCGCGCCCACCGATCGCAGATCCGTGCAGATCCGTGTCTGCACCCGCCGAGGACCAGGCGAATGCATGCTTCGGGCCCCTGGACTCGGGGGCTCCCGGGCGGAGGGGGGGCGGGGGCGCCCGAGCCGGTCCCCCGGCTCCTGTGAAGCCTGGAGGCCCGCCAGCTCTTTGGACGTCCGCGCTGCAACCCGGAGCCCCGGCCAGACCGGGGGAGCCCCGCTGCCCAGAGGACACACGTCCTGACCACGCACCACCCACAATGCTTTGCCGCCGGCCCGCCGGCCAGGTCCCCGGAGGGTGGGGAGGGGGGCGGTGCTGCTGCTGCGGCCGGCCGGCTGCGGGCGCCCAGCCCCCGGGGAAGACGTGGGGCGGAGAGTCAGTGCCTGGTGAGGAATCAATGCCGCCGCCCCCCGACTGGGGCCCTGGCGCCCGGGGCGCGTTTCTGTGTAGCCAGACTCCCAGACCTTCAGCTTTGTTCAGTGGGAGCCTGCACGGTCAGGGAAACCGCGAGCTGGCTTAGCATCTTAAGACCCTGTAAGCACTTGTTCCCTGCTAAACACTGTAACTTGCGCTGAACCGCCAGGTGAAATGAAGCGGAAAAGGTGGAAGTGCCATTTCCAGGCAGCAGTTTGGGGCCTGGCGTGGTGTAGAGAGGGTTCCCTTAATACTGTCCAGAAGGACAAAGCAGAAGGAACACCAGACTATCAAGGGAGGGTTGGTAAAGAACCTTCTCTACATCTAAAATGAAGATGAACCAAGCCTGCAGATGGTGGTAGGTCATGAATTGTGAGAGCCTGGGTACCCCGGCTGAAAAGGCATACCCGCTGATGAAAAGGAATACAGCCAAGTTTGGGGAAGGGAAAAAAAAAAAAAAAAAAAAAAAAAGGCCTTCTATCTCACCGCTTTTCTATTTTACAGAGGCGGAGGATATTATGGAAGAAAGCGTTCACTTTCAGATCAGGGCCCTGTTAGTAGGCCACCCACTCGGGGAAGACAGCATTTCTTGATTCGAGTCAACAGAATTTCCCAGAGATGCTGTTATATGATGATCTGTATTACTATATTGGTGATCTTTGAGTGGATTGATGTGATCCTGAAGGCAGGAGAATTAAAGGGGAGCCTGCCCAATAGAATTCTAGTTCCATGAGATCGGGGTTATGTGCCTAATCCTGGCCATTTTCAAGGCTCTCCTGTAATTGCTTGTTGAATGAATGAATGGGTGGACATCGGAGATTGGAGTAACACCCGACCTTAATTATTAATTAGCTCCACATATTTCCTGAAGGTGTTATTTCCAAGGAGACTCTGTGTGTGTGTGTGCGTGTGTGTGTATAAGGAGAGAAAGTTTCAAAAAACAAGATGAACCTGTAAACAGGAGGTGGTACCCCCCCCCAACATTTTAATACTAGGCAAGTATTTCAAAACAAACAAGTGGAAGCCAGCCCAGTACTTGGTGGCAGGACCATTTGCAACCCATACTTACGGGCAGTGTTCTGTTGCTTCTAGTTCCGGTGGTGAGGACTCCTTTCCAAATATAAGAGGAATAAAGAAGTCACTTCCCCAGCTGTCATCATCTGCCAACAGATTGAGCAAGAATATTTCAAGCACTACAGAAAAGGTGATGTAAATTTTGAGGGAAAATCTTACTTAGATTTGTTCTGCCGTTTTGTTTGCTTTGTGTGTATGTGTTGTCATGGTATTTATTACTCCCTGTCTGTTTTTTTAGACAGTCCATCAAACCCTAGAAAATGATCAGCCATCTGATTTTTTCAAGAAAGGGAATAGGGTGAATAAATCTCATCAGAAAAGCAGGTAAATAATTTTGATTGCTTTGTCTTGCAAAAGGCACATTACATCAGTTCTCCAAGCTGAATATGTATGGCTGGGAAAAAAAAAAAAAACAGTGTCTGTGGATAAGAAATACGTATTTATATTTTTTATGATATAACAGCAGACATGAGTGGGCAAAATGGTTTTAAACACTACTAGTTAGTAAAAATTCCAGAGCTCCTAATTCTGTCACTGTTAGCAGGGTCTGTAATTTTGGGTAAGCCCCATAATCACCAATCTTTGGTTGTTTCCTTTTTTTTTTTTTTTTTAATAAAACGGATACTGATAATCACTTTTTCTTGATGTGCACTGACAGCTAAAATCAACAAAAGTTATAACAGGTTTGGTTATGGATTCCAAATAACGACAATTCCTTTATCCATTTCCTCAACATACACTGAGCACATGTTGGCTTTTGGCCACGATTCCACATGTTCCGTATTTATTAAGAAACAACATGTATTCAAATGATTGCTTACTGTGGTAGAAACCACTGGACAGGTGAACCTCTGATGTTTCCAGACAGCATGTTTACCACCCATTTTCTTTTACCCAATTTAGTGTTCCTGAGAAGTATTATGAATCCCAGTGAAATGCTATGTTTTGGGTAAATACACAAAAAAAGAAAGTATTTTCAACTCTGTTATGAGGTCCTGCCTCAGCCTACGTCACCTTGGGGGCAAATCGGTTGCTCTGCTAGTAGCGCTCACTGAAGTCATCATTCAGCTGTAATCCTATGTTCTCATTCATACTGTGTTTTAAGACACCAGATGATTTTTTTTTCTCTCTCTCCTTTTAAACACAGTTTTCCTGAAATGCGTTTCCTATTTGAAAGTACTCTAATAAGCTTTTGATTTGAGGTGCAGGTTGTCGGTGCTACCCTTGTCCATATTAAGATCTTACACGGCTCAGAATCACCACCAATCAGTGATTAAGTGCTGCAAAATTTGCAGTTTGCATCTTGTTTACTTTTCTTTGAAAGAAAACGCTTGAAGAAGAAAGCGTTGGCTTTTAAGCCGTTAGTGTCATTAAACGCTGTTCCTTATTAGCAGAACAGATTGAGAGTTTAGGACAGATTTTCTCCACACTGATGTTTTTTTTTTTTTTTTTTTTTTTAAGTACCCACGACTGGTCTAAAACTATGAGCACTTTACGAAATGCCAGTGTTGTTCTTAAGTGGTACCACCTGATACCCCGCAGAATCCATACATCTCCTTTTGGCACCTGCGACCCGCAATGCTTGGCTAGAGCCCGGCGCGGCCCGATGCTCTGCAGGAGCCGCCCGCCCGCCCCGGGCCCTGCGGGCCATCCCAGGGCCGGCTCAGACTGCCGCTGCACAGGCCAGTCTGTTTGTCTAATCACAGCCAGGCCGCTTTGTGTCCTATGAACTAAGAATCACAGTTTTATTTCTCACAGCAACATGAATGCTGGCCCACCTTGGAATAAAGTGCAACGTTCAAAACATTCTTCAGGAAAAAGGCAGAGTGCATCCCAAGTGCCCCACGTGTCCCCCCCGCCGCCCGAGGACGGACCCCGGGAAAGCAGTTCCCTGCAAGGAGACCCCGAAAGGAGCCCGCCGGGCCCCCGGCGGCGGGGCGCCCCCTCGGGGGACCGGCTGTTCCTGGAGCTGCAGTGCAGGAAGGTCAGGAAGGAGGCTGCGGCCCAGGACGAGGACAGCGCCAGCGACCTGTCGGACTCGGAGCGGGTGCCCATGCCGCCTGCCGCGCGCGCCCCCCCGGAGCTGCAGCTGCGCGCGGAGCAGATCGACGAGGCCGCGGGGTCGGGCCCGGACCCCGACGCCGAGCCCTGGGCCGCCCCGGCGCCCGCCTACGGCTACGCGGACTTCCTGCCCGCCCCGTTCAGCTCCTGGGACCTCCGTGACCTGGCCGCGCCCCCGGGGACCGAGCCCAGCCCCGCGGCTCGGGGCGGCGCCGCCGGGCTGCTCGCCAGGTACATCGACAGGCTTGTGCAGCTCGAGTGGCTGCAGATGCAGACGGTGCAGGGCGAGAAGGGGAAGGGCGCCCGGGCCAGGCCTCCCACCGGCCCCGGGGCCACGTTGGGGGCTCTGAAAAGCCCGGGCAGGGCCAAGCTGGTGGCCAGCGCTGCAGCCAGGCTTCCCCAGGACGCGGCTGGCAAGCCGCCTGCGCCCCGGAGGAAGGACCTGTCCCGCGAAGAAGCGCGGCCGTCCTATTACGCCTTTGACCGTCCCCCCAGAGCCCCCCACGCGCGGGGCAGCAGGCCAAGTTCTCAGAGGCCAGCCCTCGAGGCGAGGACCGAGGAGCAGACAAAGAAAGCGAGTAAGAGCCCCAGGCCGCAGCAGGGCTGGCATGCGGCCTGCGGTGACCGCGGTGACCGAAGCGGCCCCGGAGCTCCCGCGCGGGGGGCCAGCGCTGCAGACCCCACTGACCCCGGCCCGGCCCCCAGAACGCAGGCACACACGGCGCTGAAGAAGAAGGGGGCTGCGAGCACCTGCGCCCCTGCCACCACGTCCAGCGAGAAGAAACCCAAAACCAATGGAGCAAAGCCAAGCACATATAAACTCAAATAATAACCGAGACAACGGTGAGCTGCAAAGACGTGCAGACACCTTAAACGTTAGAGCTCCTCCGAAAGGGACAATACTGTGAATTTTAGGACGTTTCACTCTCAGTCGTGGATTGAGATCCCATCGGTGCAGCCCCACCCTCGCCCCAGCCACACCAGGCTTCGTTCCAAAGAAGGGTGTCTTTCAATAAGCCTTTCTTGGTATTGACAGTCTTAAGTGAATGAGAGCCCTTTAGATAAAATTTAACCCAGGTCTGTGCCATATAAAGACATAAAATGACAGGGAAGGAGAGGTCTACCCTGGAAGCAGCAGCCAGCCCACACCTGAGGCCGGCAGCAGGGTTCAGCCCCCCCACACTCCATGCAGAGCACCTGCATGGAAAATGTAATGCGCGCCGGCTTAAACTGTGTGGAATCGGAAACATATGAAGTACGGTTCCTGGTGTCCTCCTGGTAAACTATCCAAGCAGAAGTTGTGCTATTTCAGGCCTAGGAGAGGGTCTAGCTCTTCCTCAATGTAGGGAGCCTCTCCTGAGAGCAAAAGTATCAGTAAGCTGCTTGTTCTTTCCAGACCATGGAATCTAATACTTTCATGGTTTGGGGGGGGGGGGGTGTTTTGTTTTATTTTGTTTTGTTCTCAAGGTGTTTTAATGAAACTCAGAGGTGGTGGTGAAGTCCACCTTTGGATTCCCTTCACTGAGGTTAAGTAGGGCAGGGACTTGTCCAGGTGGAAGCAGTAGGTCTCAGCAGGACCCTCACTGGTGGGCGGGAGCCAGGAGTGAAGCCTTTAGCACCCTGGCGCTTCTGGCGTGTATGCCTTCTGGAAGAGGTGGACAGGAAAGCCACCATTTAGAGTTTGTGCATGAAAGGCCTGAAACCAGATAGATACACATGAAAGCACTGTGACTGTCACAGTAATCACATTACTGCTTTGAGACCTGGGTCCTGCTGTCCGTAGCTGGCATAATCCGTTTTAAGAGCAGGATTTTATCACCTTGCTTCAGGGCAGAGGGGTGAGGACACATTTCCAGATGGAGTTGGGAGTGTCTTCTTAACATCCTTACCCGATCCCGTGGTCTGCTCGGTCTTCTGGTTGCACTGTGGGGTTTCTGTTGAAATTGTAAATATCTGTAAAACCTTTGGTTGACTGCTGGATAAACAGGATGTTTTAATGACTGCAGCTGATTTTCTCTCTTTAAATGATTCTCTTTGTTTTCATACATAGACGTTTCTCTTTTTCTCTTTTTACCTCTGGGGAAAATTAAAAACTTAGCACTTTTCATTTGAAAGTATATATATATATATACTAGCTTGCAGACTTCACAGAGCAGCTCATGTCATCCAAGTCACCTAAGTCAATAGCACAAGGGCAAGACGCATTTATTAATGAAATAATGGGCACAAGTTAAATATTAAGATCCCATTCTTAAAAATCTGACCTTAATAGTATGTTAAACAACACATACAATTTTTTTATGGCAGTTTTCTTTTCTTCCAAGACTGTATTTCTAGATTTTCATAGATTCCATCCTATATTCTTTATCTTTCACACCACCCTACTGGAGAGAACATGGTCTTGCACTAGGATCTTGTACCTTTTAACAGGAACAAAGATGTTCATCTAGTGGACCTTACTTCCCTCGTTCTCAGTTACGCTGTAACTTTTACACTTGGTGTATGCATTGTGGTGTGCAAGTGTAGCACTGCTCTTCCTTTACCTCTCTGTGGTTGCTGCATGGCACCCCATGTGTCCTTCACCTGGGCTGCTGCTTGTGAGCACAGGCGCACTAGTCCTTTCTACACAGCTGGCACTGCCGCTCATTCATGATGCTTCCTCTGCTACGATTTGTAACACAGCTCTTTATAAGATTTTAGGGCCGATAAATCTCTGTAAGCACATTATATCCATATACATGCTCCTGTTATTAATACTATGGGGTTTACACCAAATTGCTGCCTTCTCCAGGAATGCTCTGTGTGGGTAGTCTTGGAGGTCCTGCAGGGTGAGGGTCACATGCTCACTTTGCCTTGTGTATGTCTGAGCCGAAGGCCACCCTGATTAAGAAATTTAGAGGTGGTGCCTCGGATGTTATATTTGTCCCTTGCTCTTTGAATCGAAGTCAGTTGCCTCATTTGGGGAACGGTTATCATGTCACATGTTGAGACAATTTTAAAAGCCTGAAAAAGTGACTTTGCTTGTTCACGTTTTTGTCTCAGGTTAATGGTTTATTTTAACCAGTATTCTTGCGATTGGATCAGAGCTCCTGATGAACAGCATGGGTTCACTGCAGAACGTAAGCACAATCTCGATCCCATGATTTCCGATACACACACCTGACTCAGCCTCATGTTCTAAATGCTGCAGACAAGAATCCCACCAGTTTCACGCAGACGGCGCCGGAAAGCGGAGTCGTGGCCTCCTGTGGTTGGTCAGGTCCAAGCAACCCAGCATCCTGCTAGTCTGGGGACGTGTCACTGTATTCAAAGAAGTGCCTCTCATTTCTGGGAGTTGTTTACGTACATGTTGTGTTTAAGCCAATTGAAATAATCCAAGGTTAAAAAAAAAAAGGTGTAGAGAAAGTTAAGAAGAACTACTTTAGGCTTAGAATCAGTTAGCAGAAGCTGTAAAAACATACAAAAGCAAACTGCAACAACCTGTCGGTATTAGCTACAGTTCTTTAGTTTGGGAGTATTTCTCAAATCTTTAATGATGACACTGGCCGAAGGTTTGTAATCCACTGGCAGGGCAGGGGGGTGCCTGTGTCAATAAAGATTGGGGGCATCGTTGGGCTCATGGCAGCTGTGGTCTGAAAGGAGGAAGGCTCGTCCTGGTTCGTAAGCCAGTAGGCTAGTTCCCAGAGAGACAGAACAATCTCTACCTTCATGATTTAAATATTGTCTAACGCCTTTTTTTTTTTTTTTGTCTAACGCCTCTTTATGCTCACTTGAATAGTTAAAAATAGAAAACTCTAGGTGGTACTGTGTTTCAAGGTAACCGAGAAGCAGTATTTATAATTTATTCATGTGCATGTACAGAGGTCCGTTTAAAATGGCCTGACCCAATCGAGCATGTTTGTTATTTGCTGTTATAATTATTATATGCTTGGTTTTGTACATAATAAAACAATACGTGTAAGTTTTTGTGAATCTGGACTTTTCCCTCCTTGAGATCAGTTACACCGTAGGAAATGCTGTATGGACATTTCAGGTAGGGTTTTGTTTTGCTTGTGAGTTTACTAGGAAAAGAACAATAAATGGGTGTGGCTGTTTGGCAGATTTAAGTCCATACCTTAATGAGTTAAGAGTTGATGAGCGTTTCTAGAGTCCTCTTCCTCTTTCTGGTACAGAGCGGGAGACACCCCAACACGTGAGGATCTCCCCGGGCGCCTCTTCCAAAACGGTAACTTCTCAGCTTTCGGAGCAGCTGTTCATGTAGTTCTTTTCCTGTGTTTCTCTCATTTCTGCCTGGACATCTCACAGAACCGGTGGGCAGGAGACTCTGCGCCGTGTCCCTTCTTAATACTCAGCAACGAGCATGCCAACATTACTAGGAGCATCTGAGAAGCACTGCTGGTGTTTTCTTGAGTCCCCATTCCTCTTATTCCCCTGGAAGGTGTCAAACAGGGAACTAGGACGGAAATTGAATAAAAGTAAAGTGATGTGATAGGAGGAGCTCACACTCTCGAGTGCTCACACGCAAGTTCCAGACTGAGTGCCAGCTCTCCCCAGGAGCACACCTGGAGCTGCACACATCCTCAAAGGCCCTTTGTTCCTTTTCCTTAACTCACTTCTGACAAGAAGGTGCCTTCTTTTGAGCCTACCAGATAGTGGCCGTTTAATAAAAACGTAATTCTGGGGGCATTAAAAAGCAAAACTCCACCTAGAAAATTTCATAGGTCTTACTGGCTTCATTTAATGATGCATGAGTGGGGCAGCAGCCCACCGGCAGGTGGAAGGCATCTCCAAGGAGTGTGCAAAAGGAGGGACTTCTGTAGGCACGAGGAAGGTGTACTGGGCAAGAAAGTAGCTGGGTTATTGCAAGGTCACTTTCCTTTCGGGGACAGCCGGGGTCGTACCAGGGAGATGGCCTCACTAGTGCTAATCAGCTGGCTCCTGACTGACGGGTTTAAGATCCCACTGTGGGACAGCCCAGACTCTGAGTAAGGCTGGCCTGGCGAAACCACTCCATGTGGGCCTGTGGTCTTTTTATCAGGGGGTTTAAAAATAATTTTCTGGTAGTTGGAAAATTAACCATGTTGGAGGTTTTTAAGTCATAAAGTGGTACATAAAATGGTAGATTATTTTTGGATGTTGCTGTTTCATCATCCATGAGGTGGCCACTAAATCTCTAGACCCAACCCGACACCACCTCAGTCTAAAGGTCTCTGTTTGATTCCTTTAACATCGTAAAACAGCTCTGTCAAGCAGGGAATCATGCTCAGCGAAAGAACAGAGATCATTCGTTTGTAAAAAAATCTTCCGAGAGACCCTGTTTCAAACAACAGGATGCAAATAATCCCTGTCCTCTGCGATTCGCTCTTGAAGAAATGGACCATGAGAACACTGGGCAATGTATGTGCAATTCTGAAAATGGGATCGTCACGAATAGACCTGTCCTAGCCTGAGTGGTGGTTTTAGAGAAATCCAGGGTACGTTTCACCTGCGATCCCAGGCACCTGGCAGGGTCCCCAGCTGCTGTGCTCCACAGCAGGTGAAGGAGAGAACACCGCCCCCCCCAAACAGGCCCCTGGAGGGTCTACTGCCTCCAGTGGGAGGCACCCGAAAAACAGGCAGTCCAAGAAAAACCGTCTTATCTTTCTTCTTTTTCTTCAAAGCAGGAGATGAAATTCCTGCATGAAAGACGCCCTCCCCAGTGCCAGAAAGAAAAGTAACGTTCCTACCGTCAGGGATGAGCGGTGGAGACGCAGAAGGTCTCTACCCAGATGTTGTTTGTTAAAATGGTCTTGTCTTCCTTGGTCTCCACACACGGCTGAGTACCTTTTCTCCTTCAACCTAACATCGAAGCAAGTATCTCCCACCGCTTCTCCAGGTCCCTCCTTCCTTACGAAGGCCCCCGCGTCGCGGAGAACCTGAGTCTTCGACCATCTGTCTGCTTTTCTACCCTGTTGCTCTGACGTCCATCACCTTAATTCTCAGCACCCTCCACAAAGGACCGTAAGAGGGTGCAGCGAAGCAGAACTTGCCACCCCAAAATATGTTTTAAGGAACAGCACAGACATGGGGAAATCACCGAAAGCTGAGAAGTTACCGTTTTGGAAGAGGCGTGTCTCCCGCTCTGTACCAGAAAGAGGAAGAGGTCTCTAGAAACGCTTATCAACTCTTATCTCATTAAGGTATGGACTTAAATCCGCCAAACAGCCACACCCATTTATTGTTCTTTTCCTAGTAAACTCACATAACTGGCTCCCCTCCAACATGTTTTGTCTCTATTTATTTATTTTTTATTAGTTTCAGGGTAGTTTCCATCACGTGCCCTCCTTCATGCCCATCACCTGGTTACCCGTTCCCCCGTGACCCCAGTGTTTCCTAGAGCTCAGCATCTCTTATGGTTTGCCTCCCTCTCCATTTTCATCTTATTTTTCCTTCCCTTCCCCTACATGGAATTGAAGAAACAAAACGAATGTCTTTTGTCTTTACCTGGAGGTGGTATTTAAGGAGGCAGCGTGAGCCATTTGGGGGAGTGACTCTGTTTTCCTGGGGTCTCTCCCACGCGTTCAGGAAGCATACGTGTTCCTCAATTTCTGCTTTTCTCCTGCGCATCTGTCTTTTCTTACGTGAGCTCTCAGTCAAGAACTTGGAAGGGGGGCCGCCCTGGTGGCTCCGTGGTTTAGCACTGCCTTCGGCCCAGGGTGTGATCCCGGAGACCAGGGATCGAGTCCCACGTCGGGCTCCCTGCATGGAGCCTGCTTCTCCCTCTGCCTCTGTCTCTCTCTGTGTGTGTCTCTCATGAATAAATAAATAAAATCTTAAAAAAAAAAACACGTGGAAGGGTACAGGTGAAATTATTTTCCTCTCCTGTGAGGGTAGAGTCAAATTTTACCTCCCCTCTCAAATGAAAGTCTGCATCTGGACAAGATCCTCGGCAGTTCACATTTGAGAAAACTGCGTTGCTGGTGGCACTTAGAAGTCTGCGAGTTTGAACCCACTGCCTGGACTGCGTATCCGGTCTCGACCCCTCCCTGCACTCTGGCCACGCTAGCAAGGTCATCTGCTTATCTCTGTTGATTTTCTCCAGGGCTTAAAGGCACTCGGCTATCTCTTGGCTCAAGGATAGGTCACTAAGCGGCCTGATTTATGGTTTCCGATAATTTGCAGGGCAGGTGAATGCTAAGAAGCTGAGGTTTCTTAGAACACTTGCACCTTGAGCTCGCTTCCCTTCCATTTTGCTCTTCTGCCCTCAGCCGGGCCCTTCGCTCCCTTCATCGTGGGCCAGGTTGAGAAGAGTCACCAATGCCCACCACCAAGCTTTCCCTCCAAACTCTTGTCTCACCAGACACCTGCCCTCGTACAGCAAGGAGAAGGAAAAGGCTGTGCTTTGTCCTGTGTTGCTCAATTTTCTAAATGCTGGAATGAAATGCTTTTTACTTATTGGTCTTATATAATAATGAGATGGGTGATCCAGCAGGTTCAGTTGAAGATGTTCTGATTAACAGAAATCTGCATTTTTCCTGCACAGGACAATGTTAAGGCAGGAGGATACACAAAATAGCCTCAAATTTCGCTCTCTCCCTTCTTCCCTGAAAAAGCATAAAAACATTTACATAAACAAATAACCGAAGAAAGAGCTCGGTACTTACATTATCAATAAAATTAGTATAAAATATACTTGAAAAAAGCGAGAAACACTCCAATCAGTCATACTTGGCAGCGTTCCCCACCCTCCCACCCATTTGCTCATCTACAACTACTAGTTGAACAAACAGGGGCAAGAGACTAAAATTTCTCCAAAGGAATGTTCTGAGCAGCTCTTGGTGGCTGACAAAATACTAAAACATAAGGGCCACACTTTCTCATCAGCCCGTGTGACGACTACCGCAGCAACCAACGTGGGGCAGATAAAAATGTCTCAGTCCCTTAAAGCAGAGCAGGAAATACAAGTGACATTTCATTCTCCTGTGAAGTCTACTCTTCAGCTCTTGGTGGGTGTCAGGTATGGGGGTACATGTGCTCGATGCACCATATTAGACGTGAGGCTCAGAGTACGCTTGATAATAGCTTGGATTTTTCTGGGCTGGAATCAGATTCACTTTTCTGATTTTTTCCCCCAAAATCATTTAAAAAAAGTTTTAAACATACAGAGGAGTTGAAAGACTTGTCCAGTGAACACTGCCAGGCTCACAGCTTGTTCTCTGCTTTGTGCCCCACCTGCCTGCCCCTGCGAGCACCTGGCTCCCTCCCCAGGGGCTCCCTCCAGTTCGCCCGCTGAGGTCACTCTCCGGTGCACCAGGGGACTTGTTCCATGTTTCCGTGAGCTGTGGTTATTCAGTTGGCCACAGTTGGGCTGGGGACCAGCTCCCCTGAATGGGGACACAGCCCTCCCCTGGGGTTCTGTTGTCAGTGTTTGGTTTTGTTCTTTAACCCTACCTGAAGCTGTTCTGAGAAACTACACTTATCTTGTGACTTTGAAGAAACAGGACCTTGAAATCAGAATCCTTTTAGGGGAAGGTAAATTTTATATGAATGGACATAACATGGGGAGCTCCGACCAGGAGATGTATAATTTATCCTGCACCCTGGATTTTGAATCCCTGCCTTCCATCGTGGGCACCTTGCCCCAGGCCCCTGGGCTATGGAGATGGGTCCCCTTTACAATATGAGTCCCCTCCCCTGGGCTCTGCCTCCTCCGGCAGGGACAGAGGTCTCCTGTCTCACAGACCCCCTTCCACACTTTCGCCGACGGTGGTTGGCCTCTGCGCAGAAGAAGGCGTCCAGGTGGCCACGCTGGCGCTGCCTCCGCCTCCCCTCCCAGCGGCCCTCTCAGACCACAGCACGTCCCCTCTTTGACATTTACTTGGGCAGCCTGGGAAAGTCTGTCTCCTCATGCCAGACGGAGGCATTGGTGGGCCCTTCTCCCCTCCCCTGTCCTGGTCCTGCTGTCCAT